GCTGGTACACACCTGTAATCCCAGCTCTTGGAAGACTGTAAACAGGGGAATCACTATGAGTCCAATCTAGTAGTGAGACCCTGAACACCCTGTAGTCAAGTTCCAAAAATACAAAAAAAAAAAAAAAAAAAAAGAAAGCTCCAAAGGATATCAGTGGCTTAGGCTCTTTTGTTGACCTAAGTTATTTGATTGATAACTAACATATATTGGATGAAGTTTTATGCCTTATCCAAGCAAGAAGCTCTAAACCACTGAGTAGCCTTATTTGTAGCAGATTTAAAACAAATAAGTGTGCATTTTGAATTTGGAGCCAGTAGAATTTTAAACTGATAATCCTAGCCAGTATGAAGAAATAAGCAATTGTGGAGGTCAGTATACAAGGACCACCTTTGATTTACTGACTCTAATGACTATATTGTACTCTTTCTCAACTGATAGGAGTTGAATCATAATTTAATAATTGTTTAGTAATCTTTAATTTAAAAATCTTTCAGAGGCAAGAAAAATTTCTAGACTAATCTATCCTGCAATATAAAAATCTCTCTTGAATAGTTGTGAATAAACTCAGACAAATTCATTTTCTTTTTTTTAAATTTTTTTTCCTCAGAAAATTAAGTTTGTACATGATAGTATATTGATTCTAGATTATGCAGCCTTTGACAACCTGGTTGACATTTTCAAGTGATCACATATACAGAATGCTATGTGAAAATTAGAACACATTTCTTATGTCAATATTGTTACATTTGAAAGCATTTAAGACTGTACAAGTATTTCTTTCTCTTGTTACCTCTAAGAAGTTTGTATATTGTATTTTAGGATGGAAGTTTCCCTAAGTAAAACTGCTAAATTGAACAGTAAAGTTAAAAGAATTGGACCGCACATAGAAATCTTCCAAGTGTTCCAAGAAAGAAACAAATTAATAATTACAAAAAAAGTAGTTCGACTGATTACTATTGTGCAAGCACGGATTAGAGGGTGGCTTGAACGCAAAAGACTTCAAAGAATAATGGTCAAGGTAAGGCAAACATTAGATATTATTATGTGTTTGAAGTTTAATATGTAGATTTAATTAAGTGGAATTTAATTAAACTCAAAGTAGAGTTTTCTGTGTAGACTTTCATCTACGTATTTTTCATTAAGAACATTATGAATAGTCTGCTATGATGATAGGTTTAGGTTGTGGCAAGGTGTATGGTCTGAACAAAGGAATTGTGTTGCCCTTAACTCGGCAGTCTGCAACATTTGCCCTTAAACTAGAACAAACTTCCATGGCTACCAAAGTTGTTTTTTCTTTGCTGTTGATTCTCTGTTTAGAGAATAACTTCTCATAATGTTGGATATTCTTGAAGAACATACATGTTTCATTTAAAAAAAAACTATGACCCCTTCCTCCCATATCTACCCAAGCAACATTTGTAAATAGCAACTTTGAAATCCAAAAGAAGTTCAAAAGATAACGTGTTGGCTGGGCTAATGTGGAAGAACTTGATTGTTCAGATCTTGGCAAACAGAGAGAACACAGAATGTCCCTATCTTGAGGGCTAAAGCCTGGGAAACCAAGTATAAAGAGAAAAAAATAGAGCAGGAATAACCATTGTAATATCTTGCTCTTGTGGGAGGAACCTTCTAGAATGGACTGGCAGGTGTGTACCCTGAACACATTTGTCTGAGAAAGTAGTGATACCAGTGGAGGAAATCAATCTGCTTGTCTCTGGCTATAAATTTATGCATACATTAATTTCTACACATTGTACATTAATATATAATATGTACACATGAGGTTCTGATGATTAAGTATGCTAATCCATATAAAGTTCTGGAAAAAGTAAACTCTCTGTACTTAATCTATCAGCAATTCTATGAGATCACTGCTTTTTTTATAGGTAAAAATTTAAAGCCTTGAGAGCCTAAACTATTTAGTCAAAATAGCTGGTTAGTGATAGCTACAATTCAAACCATTGTCATCAGATTTAAGGGCTATGCTAGGCTGCATATCATATCACCTACTTGAACTACTTTAGCGATGGCTAAGTCTAATCTAAAGCCATACTTCACATCAACCTCCTTAGCTCTAGACTCAGATATAGGCAACCTGAAACATCTGGAACTTAATTGCAGTCTACATACCTTTACATGAACCCATTTTCTTCTCCTAAAGCACTTCCTTTCTGTACTACTTATATTAATTCTACTACTAACATTTTCCAAGCCATACACCTGGAATTCTCATGGACTTATTTGTTGCCATAAACAATTGCTTGCACCATTTATTTCATTCTTATTTTCTATGATTCTTGCAAAATTTTCATTCATTTTTCCTCACATGGCCACATACAAGAGTCTTATTTTTATTTTGTGGAAAAAAGCTAAAATGCAATTTCATAAAAGATGACAGGAAAATAACAGTTATTATGTTGCATATTATTAACTTAAAATGTTTACTGAAAGTAGAAGATAAGGGCGTGCAAATTCTCCAGTCAATATTAGTGCAAACTTTCCTTCTTTATGAACTAAGGAGAACTAATAGTATAACTAATTTTGTTTTTTCTCTTTTCCCTTACTCTCTTTCCCATTCCATGCATCCTAGTGCATTTCACCTTTATAGCAATTCCTTCTCATTTAACAATGTCTATTAGGTCTACATTTTAGACCTCATTTACTCTTTAAATTTCTCACACCAGGGAGAAAATATGATGTTTACAAATGTGATTTATTTCATTAATACGTATGACTTAATTTGCATCCATTTACCTATAGTTGGGTTGATTTTATTTGGAGTTCTATATGCTTCAGTTACCTGAATATCAGATTGTTTCTTCATATTTGGGAAGTTTTTTGCTATTACTTCTATCCACATTCTTTTTATATCATTTGTATTGACTCCTTTCTCATTAATGCCTATTATTCTCATGTTGTTTACCTTAGCATCATCTTGCAGATGTTGAATTATTTTTTCTTGCATCTGGTATTTTTTTTTTCTGAACTGAGGATTGAACTCAGGCCCTTGTGCTTACTAGGGAAGTGCTTATTCCATTGAGCCATCTCCCTGGCCCCCGTTTTTTGGAGATCTTTTCTTACCTTTTCACTAGCTGCAACAGTGTCTTCAAGATCTGAAACTCTCTTTTCACTTTCAGTCAAACGGTTTTGTCAGCTTGTGATTGAGATTTTAAGTTCCTCTATATCTCTTTGACTCTGCCTCATGCAATCCATTTCTTTCCTGTATTGCTCATTCAAGGGTTCCATTGTTTTTTAATCTCCTCTATTTTTTAATCAGGATCTTTTTAGAAGCAATTATTCTTTCATTATATTTATCCTTTCTATTTTTACTTCAGTGATTACTTCTGATATGATTTCCATTATACATTTCTGCAGTTGTTTCTTTACTACAGATGCTATTAATTCAGAGATTTCTTTTTCTATTTCAAAGGTTATTTCTGATCTGATTTCCTCTATACCTTTCTGCAGTTACTTCTTTACTTCAGATGTCATTAATTCAGAGATTTCAGCTATGATTCCCAGTTTCTTCAATGCTGGTGTCTCCTGCATTTGTTCTGGGTGTGCTCAGGGCCTGAGATTGCATTTTGTCTCTTCTCTTTGCCATTTTGCATAGCTCTGTCCTTTGACCTTTGATGTAGAGCTCTGGTGCAGTTATAACCTTATCACCTACCAAAATTTGGGTGCAGATCTATGAAGTTTGAACTCGTCCTAATGTGCCTGGCTTGGGTCTGGCTGCTGTGCTCAGCTTCATCCTGCTGCAGCCCTTGGGAGTGAACCTGTTGTACCCTTCTGTGTAGATATTATGCTCCTGGATTAGCTGGGTGGTTTTGGCCCCTAGCCTCTCTGCAGGAACTTCAGTTACAGAGTTTCACACCAGGCCTGTATGCCAGGCCTGGGCTGGGTCTGGAGGGGTCCTGAGAGCATGGCAGAAGGTCTCACACTCTGGGCTTGGGCTGGGTCTGGAGAGATCCAGAGGGGTCCTGAGAGCACAGTGGAAAGTCTCACTCACATGCTAGGACTGGGCTGGGTCTTGAGGGGTCAGGCAGGCACAGTGGAACAACTATATCCTAATGTCATTCTCCCTAAAGAGGCACCCAGGAGACCCATTTACCTACAAAAGTCACAAGTTACTCCTTTATGGCTGAGTAGAACTGTATTGGATAGAATACCACAAATCTCTTTTTTATCCATTCCTATATTGTTGCATTTAGGTTGTTTCCAGGATTTAGCTATTACAAATTGTGCTGCTATAGTCACTGGTACACATACATCTCAGTGGTATGACGCTATAATCTTCCGGGGAGATACCCAGAAGGACATTAGCTGTGTCAAATGGGATGTCTAATCTTAATTTTATGAGGAATCTCCACACTGATGTCCACAGTGGTTGTAACAGTCTATACTCCCAGCATCAGTGAATAAGTGTTCCTTTCTCCCCACAATCCCTCCAGCATTGTTATTGATTGGTATCTTGATAGCTGTTCTTTCTGGAGTGAGAAGGAATCTCAGTGTTGTTTGAATTTTCATCTCTTAAATGACTGATAATGTTGAATATTTTTCATATATTCATTTTCCATTCCTATTTCTCCATTTGAGAAATGGATATTCATCTTAGATGCTGATTTTTGGATTGCATCTTTGAATTTGGTTAATTTTTTTTTTCAGTTCTTTGTATGTTCTACACATAAGTCCTTTGTCTGAAGGACACCTGGTTAAAATATTTCCTTGTCTTCTCATTCTGTTGGTGACTTCTTTTGATTTGCCAAAATTTTTTATTAAGATGAAATCTCAGTTGCTGTTTCTTTGAAGTATTTCGTTGCAGTTTGTTTTTGTTCATAAACTCTCTGCCTACTCTTATATTTTCAAGATTTCTACCTACTTTCTCTTCCAGTATATATAGTGTGTTTTTTTTTAATTATTTAGATGCTTGATCTATTTTGACTTTAGAACATGATGATAGACATGTGCCTAGCATTAGTCTTTAGTATTTAGCAAGCTAAATTTTCCATCAATGTTTATTAGAGAAGCTATCTTTCTTCCTGTGAACATATTTAGTCCTTTTCTCAAACATAAAGTTGCTGAGTATATTTATAGTTGTGTCAGCATCTTCTAACCTGTTTCATTGATTCTCAGAGATTTCTTTCCAGTATCATGTTGCTTTTATTGAGTAGCTTTGCAGTATAATTTCAAGTCAGAGAATGTGACACCCCACCTTACTTTGTTGCCCAGAATTGCCTTTGTAATTCTAAGTCTTTTCTGTTTCAAAATGCATTTTGGGAATGTTTTCTCTAGATATGCTAGGCATGATAGTGATATTTTCATCAGTGTTACATTAAATCTGAGTAACAATTTTGGTAGCATGGCTATTTTCACAATGTTGTTTCTTTTCTTTTTTTTGGCTGGCTCAGCCCACCCTGAGGGTGGAGCTGGCATGGCACATGGTTCTGGGGATTGAACTGGAGTCCCCTGAGCCTGCCTGCGCTTTCCTAAGCAGGCACTTTAGACCACTGAGCTATCTTACTGGCCCAACATTGGTTCTTTCTATCCATGAGCAAAAGATATCTTTCCATTTTCTGAAATCCTCTTGGATCTCTTTTTTCAGAGTACTGTAACTTTTAATTCATATATTTTTTTCTTCTTTTGTTAGATTAAGTACTAAGTATTTAATTTTTTTGGATATTACTTTGAAGGGTGTGTTTTCCCTAATTTCTCTCTCTGTGAGTTTGTTGTTTGTGCACAGGAAGGATACAAATTTTTGTGTGTTAACTTTGTATTGAGCTATTTTATTAAATTAAGTGATTAAATCTAGAAGTCTTTTGGTGGACTTTTTGCAATCTTCTACATAGAGTATAATGTCATTTGCAAATAATGATAATTTAATGTCTTCCTTTCCTATCCTTGTCACATTTATTTCTCTCTATTGTCCAATTTCTCTGGCTAGTGTTTCTAAAACAATAGCACTGATGATAGTAGACATCCTTGTCTTGTATCTGATTTTAGAGTGAAAGATTTCAGCTT